TAAAAGTATACTGCAAGTTGGAGTAGAGTGTGAGTATTGAAGATTGGTTAGGGGTAGTTTGCCTTTAAACAGTAACTCAGTGAACAAAATAGAAAAATAGAAATTAAAGATGGATGCAGAAAGTGGACAAAGGACAGCCTTGATAAACTTAGTTTTAAGGTGATTTACTTCCATGATACCCAACACCTCAGGAGGTCAAAGCACTGGAACATTGAATGGACCTGTCATAGTAAGCAACTAAAAGATTTTTATTGACTTTTTCTACTGCAGCTGGGATCCGTACTTGTTACTGGTAGTGTAGACAACACCCACAAGGAGAAAAATTTCTTCTTATCATAATGCATTCTAGATACTGGAAAGACTGAAATCATTAGAAAGAAACCCATAGAAATACAGGAGAGTAAATTCAGTAAAGAGTCCCAATATGTGTAGGTACTAAATGTAATGAAATATATACGACTTACATAATGTCACAGAAAAGGGTTAGGAAAGATAACCTTAGATGTCAAGGTGAATTAACAAGATAAAAAATTGGCTGTATCTTTGCAAGATAAATAATCTACAAGAAATAGCTATGGCAAGAAGAAACTGTACTTTTTGCAAGATGTGATAAAAGATTGGGAAAGAATATTGAGTGGGAATGGAAGAGAGATGAATTATAGAAATGTCAGTATATAGAAGCAATTTCTGATAAAGCCATTCACCTGGATTTTGGCAAAGAATTTCCCTGCAAATAATTGGAAAAATGACTTAAGAAAGAAATACTGGTAAATATTTAATTACTGGCATTCTGAGAAAAATCTGTATAGTCTTAGTTACTTTTCTCATTGCTGAGACAAAATACTCAAGCCCCAAAGGTAAAGGAAGAAAGGATTATTTAGCCCACAGTTTGCAGAGGTTTCAGTTAATAGTTGTAGGGCTCTAAGGCAGAGTGGCCTGGCACAGGAACATCACAAATGAGAAACAGTTCATGGCAGGCAGAAGGCAGCTAGGTAGCAAGCAGCAAGCTACAAGTGATAAACAATGATCCTCTTTCTGTCCCTTATATCTTATCCAAACCACACACTGTTAGGGGTGGGTAGCACTCACACATAGGGCAAGGAAGCCTTACTACAAGCATCCCACTATGAATCAATCCCAGCTCAAATCTTTAATCCCAGCAGCACACTCTAGATCCAGCCACCTCTGAAAAGCCCCACCTATAACTGCATGAGGCTTTGGAGGAACATCTTGATACAAGCCATGTACATGTATGTATATATATATATATATATATATATATATATATATATATACACACACACATATATGTGCATATATGGTGTACAACATAAATTTATTATAAATTTAACTGTCATAAAATTTACAAATAATAAGATATATAATACTTTTATTGAAATTCCTTGTAGTTATTTCACTGACACAAAATGCTTCATTTATTTTTGCCAAAATGTTATATAACTAATCTGGCTTTACAATTAATGAATGAGCTTAATTCCAACATAAATGTTGGTTGATATAAATATGAGCTTATTAATGATAAGATAACATTAAAATGATAGGGATATATATTGAAACTTCTTCATTTTTCAGGGTGTCCAAATGACATCTTTGCTCATCAGATAATACCCTTTGGTACCAGAAATGTTTTTCCATTTTGTCCTATTCACAGCTATAGCTACAACTGCAGCTACAGACACAAGATACTTTAAGTTAAATTGGCATTTTTTCTTCATCACTATACAATGTAGAAAATAAATCAGTCATGTAGATTGGGTTCAAGAACAAGACAGGAGGGAAATTTTGGCAAAAAGATAATGTCTTTCACTGCAGTTACCATCAAGACACTCTGCTGGGCATTTTAGGCAACAAAAGACTAAAAACTGAAACAATTGTCACTTTAAAATAAGAGATATTTGATTGTTTAAACTTTTAAAAATGGAATCAGGAGTATGAAATATAGAAAGCCTTCACTATTTCTCTGAGGAAAGTATCTAGGATGAGTGAGGATGAAATGAATTAACAGAACTGTCAGTAAACCCCCCCAAAAAAGCAGTCCGACAGCCATCACTAAAAAAAAAACTAATAGTTTATTGGATTTTCAGAACAACTTGTTCTAGGAAGTACCTGAAGCTGACATTTCAACACCTACACTTATTAATATCACCAATAACCTTGAAGTTGCCAAATGCAGTTGTCAATTTTTATCTTCAACTGACTTGATATTTCATTTGACATCAATGTCTATTTCCTTCTTCAAACATCCCGTGCTGTCTTCAGTGATACAGCTGTCCTCTTCCTCTTTCTCCTCCTCTTCCTCCTGCTCCTCCTCCCCTTCATCCCTCCTCCTCTTCTTCTTCTTTCCTTTCTTTTTTTATTTTGTTTTCCTTCTGGCCTGGCATTTCCCCTATGCTTTTCTATTGATCCATTTTAATACCAAAGTTCTCCAGGGATCTATAATCAACTTTCTTTTCATCTCACATCCAGTGATTCTCCATAGGTTACATTTTATACAAGAGAGATATCTAGAAAAATCTACAGACATTCTTTGTTGTCATAATTTGGGAACTGCTAATGACTTCCAGGGGGTAGAAGCCACAGATGCTGCTAACCATCCTGCAGTGGACAGAATATTGCCATCTACCACAACAATGACATCTGGCCAGTAATGTCAATAGTGACACAATCTCCTTGGTTTCAGAGGCAAAATTAGAGACTAGGGTTTGGGGTGGGTATTGATGACATCTCTCATGGAACATATGTAAAGCAAAATTCATCAATACCCACGCCAACCCTCAGTCTCTAATTTTGCATTTGACACCAAAAATGGAACTGAGAGTTATGCTACCCTGCTGTTTCTTTTATACCTCATATCAGATCAGTTTCCAAGTCTATAGCTTCTGTCCAATACAGGCATACTCATTATCTAGGTTTTGATATTTATTTTATCTTACTAAGAGCATCTGCACTGGTTAATCTGTCTCCAGGTTAATTAATTGGCCTTGGTTAATTAATTGGCTCTACTTAAGCAAGGCATCTACACAGCATTTATGTAGATCTTTCTAAAATGGAAATGTGAATTTGCTTGCTTTAAAAATTATGATGGCTTTCCAACCCCTCTAGATGCAGTCACTTTAGGAGGAATTTAAACATTTTATGATGAGATACCTGCCAACTTCATGCCATTGATCTGCAACTTCAGGCTAAATTCCAGCATTTCTGAGAAATGCAATATCCCCTCCATGTACATTTGCTCACTATTTCCTCTTATCCATTCTTCTCCCACTTCCACTTACATGGCTCATTCTCATTCTTTCATCACTACTCAACTGAAATACCACCTGCTTTCTAACAATATAATATATTTTTAAATTCTTTTATTGGTACATTTTAGATATACAATACATTTACATTTATCATTGGGTGCTTGTACCTGTACATGATGTATCTTGGTTCTTATTTTTCCCCATTACCTGTGCACTCTTCACCCCCTCCACCTTTCCCTGTTTACATAGATTTCATTTCCATTTTTTTCTTTTCTCATAATTTTTCCCTTCCCTTCTTCCCTTTCCCCTTCCCCTCCCACGAACCCCTACCTCTTTAGATCTTAATAGGACATACATGTGTAAATACCAAATAGTTTCTCTAGTATGAGAAACTGAAAGTGTAAATAAGGATTAAAGTGATTAAAATGAATAATTCAGAATATAATATTTTTAAACAATAATGTCCAGTTTGACAAGAGTATGACTGGAAATGCATTCTCATATGATGTTGTTACATTATAAACTTTAACAATCATTTGAAGAACAACTTTTCAGCGAAAATATTAATATTCCTATTGTCTTGGAATTGTAAGCACTCCTTTTATATTTAAGGTTTATATAAATATATTTAGACAAGTGCCCTTTGCAATATTATTTATTAAGGCATTGAAATGGACTCATCAACACAAAGACTTTAAAATATCCAAACTGTTCACAGATTTTATGTTTTTCTGCTAATATAATTAGATGCTCCAAGATCTACTCCAGAGTATGATATATATATTTTGTTAATTTTTAACTTTATACCCTTATTTGTAATTCTTTTCAATGGGCATATACAACTTTAACAGTGTTAGCATGCAGCTCAAGTGTTACTTTCTGGAATTCTATCCCTCTCAGCTCCTCCTAAGTTCTTAGAATATTTTGAGCATTGCTCCAAAATCACAAATGTTAAATAGTATTGTAATCATTAATTTCCTTTTCTGTCTCCAAAACTAGTTTTAATTAAGCAACTCTGAAATAAGAGAGTTCTCGGCATTGTAAGTTTAATTTGTTCCCTCTCATCACAATAGCCCTGGAACCAATATGCAAGATATTAATAAGAAATCACAAGTTAAATAATAAATATCAAACACTGCAATAACAGAACCAAGAGAAAAGGTTACATAAAATATTTATACCTACATCTTTACACAACTTGGTAATGAAATCAGTGAATGCCAAGAGGAAAGATACAAACCTTACAGATGCTCAGAACCAACTAAAACTTTTCCATTTAAAATTAATTGGGTCATTAAATGATTTCATAATCACATTTCATTGTTATACAGGGCATTTATGAAATCTTATTATAGGTTTGGCTAAAGAGAAAACATGCACGGGAAAGCAAATAATACCATTACTTCTCAGAGAGCAATAAATATTAAAACTAATCATGGAGAGAACCTTTGTAGAGAATTCTAAATTATTTTTCCAATAGAACTCTCCAGATACTATTTTATTGATTAAGCATTTTATGAAATCCTTTGAAAACATTATGCATTTGACCACTTTGGTGATTTCAAGTACTACAAGCAATATAATGACTATTGTGTATAAACACAGCAAGTTTTACAAAATATATTTCAATTTCATTTTACAAAATATTCTTAACCTATTGAAAACACTATTTGGAATAATCAGATCAATAGCGAAAAGGAGATAAGAGATGCATGTCTGTGAACAGCAGTCTGAGCAAAATTTTAACAACAGCTAGTACTTCATTTCAAATTAAAGAAAATTTTTCTAAACAAGTGTGTACAAGCATCCACTCCTCAAACAATTCAGAGGAATAGATTATTAATCAAACCAAGTGGATTCTCTGTAACATTTGATGTATCTTGTTATCCATCATATAGCTGAAGGAATTTGTTAAATATTCCTAAGGAGTGAATGTCTCAGAAGAAGGAAATCAGTTTAAAGTCATGGGTCAGAATGATCAAGAATGAACACCAGAAGTAAATCATTTACAAATTTTCAGAGTGCAAACCCTGTCTCAGACAATTCCACCTCAAAGCCTAGAATTAAAGAATAGAATTTCTGCAAAGTATAGGCAGAACCACTCACCAAACCAAGGAAATCAAAGTCATCCTATTTACAAAAATAGCTTTAGGAACATTTTATGCAAAAATTGGTGATTTTAAGAAAAGTCATATGAAAAAGCAATAGCATAAAACAGGTAAAGTGGGACAAATTATGAGATCAAGCAAATGCACTTCCATGGATGGTCCTTAGCATATCATGGTATCATCACACCACAATGCTCAACCAGGTCCAAGTTTTACCTTTCTTAACACCAGTCTCAAATGAGGAAAAGAATTTTTTTCAAACAAATAGTTCCTTCACTTCCAGTTGTATTGAGTCAACATCTCCAAAACATGGGCCAGGTATGTTCTGATCATCATGAGGAAGGCACCATCTGCTCATGCAGGATGCCCTTCACTGAAGCCAGAAGCCTGAGAGCAATGAGAGGCACACGTGGGTACTGTCCACACTAATTAGTTCCACTTCAGCCCCTTCACTTCCGGCTTGCCCGTGAGCCTGCACTTTTCCTTCTGGGATTCCTGTTCTGTGGACTTCGGCCACTGAAGTCAGATAGAGAAATAATAGCCACGTGTAGACTATGTAAGTAGCTCCCACATTCATATAACATCAAATCCTTATAGTAAATCCTTTATTCTATACCTGTCTTGTAAACTCTCTTTTTCTTACCAAACCAAAATGATCCACAGGAGTTCTTGGGATTTACAAACAAAAAGGATAAATATAGACTAAGTGCACATGCACGCACACACACACACACACACACACAAACTTAGTAATCCTAACAGCACCCTAGACTTGACCATGCCATGGCAAAAGTGGAAGAGACAGTGACAAAACATTAGTCTCACATATTCTCAAACAACTGAAAACATTTTTAAACCACCCAAGGGCCAGGGATTTAGCTCGGTGATTCCTCCACCTGCTTCACAAGCTCAAGGTCTTGAGTTCAATCCCCGGTACCAAAAAAAAAAAACCCACCCAACAATTAAGGAACAGTCAAGCACACTCAGAAAGGAGAAATTTCATCACTTGCATTAAGTGATCATTTTAATTTTTTACAAATTCTCTTTCCTGAATTATAGTACAATTTCAATTTTGCATAGTACAATTCACTTTATTTTAAATGATGCTTACAAAGGGAGTATATCATGCTTGCCTTTATAGGTATACATTAATTCTCAGAAGGACAGACTATGTAAGATTCCTCCGAGTTGTGTGAGTCATTCACAGCAGAACTTGAATCTATTGATACATTGTTACTTTTTGAATTTTCAAATTGTCAGCTACACACCAGTTTCTAAATTTTAGCCACTTATCTAAATAACAGATTATCTTCAAGTTTATAAATCAGCTGGTAGATTTAGGCTATTTGGAGACTATCTGTGATGAGTCAAATAGGGCATGATTGTGAACTTTTAGTTACCTCTGAGAGCATAAAATTACACCTTAGTTAGCTGATATGTTTGATATGTCAAAATTATGTTATCTTTAAAACTACTTGCTATCACATATATCTAAACAGGGTAAATGAAATAAATACCAGTAAAGGAAATCACAAATCAAGAGCTACTTAAGCCAAACTTAAAAGGAGAAACAAACAAAATATTCATCTCCTCACTTTATAGGAAAATACATTACACTCATAATGGTTACCATGAACAGATAAATTAGCTGGCCACTATGAACAATTTGTCCTCTCCAACCCCACTTTGCCATGTGCCACTCTGCCGTGGATCCAGCCAATTAAGGGCTGAAACCTCTACAAACTGTGTAGCAACCTACAGCAGCTTCGATGTTTATTGCAAAGTCCCTTGTCAAAGGGTGCAGCCAGGAAAGTTCTGGGTACAGTGTACCACCTGCAAACAAGCTACACTGACCATGGCCCAGGCAACCCTTCAGCAACTAATGCTTGTATGGCCTGTTATTGCCTAAGAGAATTTTCACATTAATTAGCTAATTCATTATCTTAGTTGATCCCGAACTCTTATTGTCCATATTTTATAAATAAGATAGTAAGAGAGGAGAAAGTTGAATGACATTAGGCTGACGCCCTACCAAGGTCCTGAGTCACACAGAACACGCCGAATCACCCCACTGCAGACAGGCAGGTCTGCCCACACCCTACCGAGGTCCCAAGTGTCACAGAAGATGCCAAATCAGCCCGCTGCAGACAGACAGCCACCTGGTTGCACACTACAAAGATGCAGAGGACACCACACCACCAGAACAAGGTACTGAGTCCCACTGCTCCCGGCCCAGAGGTAGGGGATTCTGAGCCACCATCCCACTGCTCCCAGCCCAAAGGAAAGGGCTTTTGGGCCACCATCTGTCCCGCTGCTCCTGGCCCAGAGGAAGGGGCTTCTGGGCCACCATCCCTCCCACTGCTCCCAGCCCAGAGGTAGGGGCTTCTGAGGTGCCATCGCACTGCTCCTGGTCCAGAGGAAGGGGCTTCCGAGCCACCATCCCTCCCGCTGCTCCCAGCCCACAGGAAAGGGCTTTTGGGTCACCATCCCTACCACTGCTCCCGGCCCCTGTCCCAACTCTCCCAGCTCAGAGGAGGTAATCCATGCAGGCACTAACAGCCCCCCACCCCAGTCAAAATGAGCAAACAC